GAGGAGGCCTGTCCTATGGAGCAGTCATTATTTGATCTGAGGCCAGAAAAAGGGAAGGGGACTTGGCCAGCTATGTGGAGAGCTAGGGGAGGAGTACTCCTGGCAGAAGGACCAGTACATGCAAAGGCCCTGTGGTGAGAAGGAAATTGACATATTGGAGGAACAGCAAAAATGGCAGGGGGAGGGGATCAGGAGGGTATACAGAAAGGAAACTGGAGCCAGGCCTGCCAGACCTGGGGGTGACTTCTTTGTGCCCCAGTGCCATCAGGATGATTGTCCAGGTGAATCCTTCCCATAGCCCACGCAGGTGGGAGTTATTACTATCTCCTGTTTACAGAAGGGCTCAGGGAGGCAAAGCCACACAGTAGGGAGAAGAGAGTCTGATCCAGGTGACCTGGACTGAGTCGTTACTGTGAAGACTTCCCGTGTCTGCTGCTCTGATAACTTTGAGGTACCAGCCCAGAGTCCTGCCGAAGCCTGAAGGAGACTCAGAACCACCCTAATCTGGTTCTGCGCTCCACAAACCCAGCTGATGTGAACTGTACCCGCGTGGTCACATGGGTTGGTAGCCCATGAACCACAGAGCCATGGATGAAGCCAGCTGGCTATGGGAACACGCAGCCACCCCTCCATACAGCCCTGGGGTACCACTATTAAAAAATCCGGCACTCACCATAATAAAATGGGTCGGGTTCCTCGGGAACTGTGGGAAGGAAGAGGGGGAAAGTATTTCAACGCTTGTTCCTCAACATTTTCCAGGACCTCGTTGGGGCCATTGGTCTAATGGTTTCTGAGTGGAAATTAGATGAAAAGGTCCCTTGTTCTGGATTATGTAGCTCCAGGGCAGGACACAGGCCTGAAGAATGGGGCATAGGATAGATTCCAACCCCCACTCATTCCATCGTTTGGTACCATCCCCTGTGCAGTGTACCATCCACCCAACTGTACATGGCTGTCGCAGTCCTAGATCCCTATGGAGGTCTGGGGCAAGCTATGGACTCACTCCCCGAAAAATACACACACTCCCATTTAAATATGACGCCAAGGGTTGAGCATGCCACTGGCGGACCACTGAGCTATCAGCTTCCCCTGCACACTGCCTACAACTTCCCAGTCATCTGAGCGCTCCCAAGGGCAGGTGCTACAGCTATGGTCCTCATCTCCTGGCTCCTGACACCAAATCCATTACAGGGAGCTATGTCGTTGTTATTCTATATCACTTAAGACACCAGCCAGTTTACAATCCAAAGTCGATTTTGTGATAGTGTCCCAGGACGCGTATGCCTATGGATCTCTACCACAGGAAGCGTGCGCCTTGGTTAGAAGACTTGCCCTGACTTCAGAGATGTTACCGTGGGGATGGGAATCGGCCTTTCCCTCTCCATCTCCCTGTCCCAGACCATATTCCCCTGGGGGTGGGGGGGGGGAGCTCAGAACATCTTTCCATTTCCATCCTGATGGCCCCTCCTGGAGCAGAATTCTGCAGCGTGTGTGCCACTAGGGAAGGGGGCCAGGGGTACGTCAGGCAATGTCAGGAGTGTTCTTTTCCCCCTTTGAAGGGACAGGGAAGGATGTCTCCCTTGAGGTTGGCTGGAGCCGTGGGATGAATTCTGGCCCATGAACTGTGAGCAGAAGTGTCACTTGTAGGCTGGAACATTTCAATGACCTCTGGTTTGCCTGTGGCCTGGGGACCTGAATGTTCAAGATAGTAGTGGCTGCTCTAGTTTTCTTAGGTGAGTACAAAATGCCCCCCACCCCGGTCAACCTGTGATGGACATGGAGCACAAGTGAGAAATAAAAATCTCAGCAGATGATCATCACTGTCACCATCTGCTGACACTTTGGTACTGCTTTTTATCAAAGCAAGCTGTTGCCTAAAGTGACGGGTACAGGAAACAGAGGCAAGACCCTGACACAGTGTGTAAGTTTGCTCCTTCCAGGTCTCTTCTAGTCTCCAAGGAGGGAATCTTCGTTGGTGCTGATGTGGCTTTAATTGCCTATCAAACCTTGTTAATCCCCCTCTTACCCAAGAGAAAACAAAACTGTGCTCAGAGTCTTTGTCAGGTAATAATAATATCTAGTAGAATTTTGTGACATTATCAAGTTTTCTCCTTTTATTTATCGATCTAGTCAGAAGTGGATAGCACTAACTCCAAGCCAGAGCCAACTTCTAAGCCCTTTACAGATGTTGACACATTTAATCTTGGCAGGAACTCGCCCATACAGGTGCTATCTTCGTCTCCATTTCACAAAAAGGAGACACTGGACCCAGAAAAGCGATGTCACTTGCTTTAGATTGTTTGTAGGTTTACCCTCCATTTAGAGAAAAAAAATTCATTTTCCATTTGTGGTGATGATGTAAAATGATGCTAATTAATTTTTTTAAAAAGTGAATCCTTCCAAGGGAAAAAATATTAAATAAATAGCACTGTGGGGAACATTTGAATAAGTCAAAAATCTGGAAAGTGGTACTTCAAAGTGTCCCCATCAAGACACAGTGTTTTAGTCACCTTTAGTCACTTTAGCTCCTGGACCAGAGAGAGTCGATTTGTTTAGCTCATCTCTGCTGTTAATCCTGGCACTTATGAAAGGCTCTCAAAGAAGTTTTCTGAAACAAATGAAGGAATGTCAGGCCCTCCTAGGCTGCAGGAGTCTGCATCAAGGTGGAACAGTTGGATTATCTTCTTTTGTCTCCCAGTTTTCCAAGCATCCTCCTCCAAAGTGCTCAGGGACCCTTTGGGTGAGCATCTGTCCCCAAATCCTCTTTGCTTTGCACCTGAGTGCACAGTGCTTCATGCAGAAGATCCTTGGCTGGATCCTGCTGGCCCAGCAATCTGGTTCCCCAGGGTGTGGCTGGGCTCAGGGTGGAGCCAGGAGACGGAGAAGGAATGTGCACTACTCCTGGCCAGTTGCCAAGGAGAGATCAGGAAGGAGGTGGTTGCTATGGCAACAGGGGCATCTTGAGAGGTGATGGGTCCGGGTCCTCCAGGCTGGCTGAGGTCCTGTGTGAGGCTTGGAGGATGGGCCAAATTTTAACTCCCTCTCCTCCTTTGCATCTCCCTTTAATGCCCCTGCAGGGCTGGCTGCTGGCCAAGTTGAGGGTCCCTCTCAGTTGTGCTCACACATCTCCCTTTTCTGTTGCCCCTAATTCTCCTTCCTTTTCTCTGACAGAGTGGGAAGAGACTCCTCTCCCTCCCCCTGCTCTCCCCAGCAATTCATTAATTCATTTCCTCAAGCAGTTTGCAATACACAGCGGGGGGTTTTTCCTCCCCAGGGAATTCCGGAGACCTGTGGTCCCCTCTCTTGCTGTGACCGGCGGGCGGGGGGGGGGGGGGGGGGGGGAGGGTGTTGAGGCGTCTACCCTCCCACCTCTGCCCGTCTGCTGCCATCGATCCTGCTAACCGCCACCTCTGCAAAAAGAAACCCTGGGCTCCCGCCAGACTTGCTGGCTCAGCCCCGCCCCCTCTCCCTAGGGTGGCTCCAGCCTCTGCAGCCCCCCCCCTCCGCCCTGCTTCAGATTCTGCAGATATGGCTCAGCGCAGCAGCCCCTGCCTGATGGGAAAGGGGGGAAGGGAAGGAGAGAACCGGGTGGAATTGGGGTTCCCTTCACCGCCAGGGGCTCCTCCGCCTCCGCCCTGCCTTCGGTACTGGAAACACTTCCCCGGTCCCCTCCCCCACTAAAGCACCCCCCGCCTTGCTCTTCTGCAGACCGTGGCTCAGCAGGGGGTTTGCTGGGGGCTGGAGTGAGGACGCGTTTAAGTGGGAGCATATCTGGGTTAACGGGTGTGAAATGTAACTGCGCGCCGCTGCACGGTGTGGGGGGACATGGGTGTGGGGGGACAATGATGTGCACCTCCGAGGATGGAAACCACAAGTAGGTGCGCGCTGGGAAGGAGGGTCCCCTCACCCTAGTCCCACCCTTGGGGTTCACTGCAGTGGCTGCAGCCCCACCCTATGCTGCCCCCCTTTCTATTCCTCTGCCTGTGGCTCGGTGTCTCGAGTCCCTGTGCATGGCTGTCTCCATCCGTCTATCTCTGTGTCTCTCTGACTTCCTCTCCCTCTCTTTTTCCTGCATTCTCCCTGAGTCTCTCGGAGCCTCGCACCTATCTGCCGGTCCCCCCATGTCTCTGACTCTGTGTCTCTTCTATCTGTTTTAGGTTCAATCTCAGATCAACTTCCCCCTTTCCTTCTCTCTTTTTCAGCTGACCCTCCTTCCCTCTGAACCTGCCTGTCAGGAATTTCAGGAAACACCGATGGCAGGAGACGGTGCTGGAAAGAAAAGGGACATGGACCCTTTCTCCCTGCCAACCCAGGGTCCTGAAATCTTCCAGAACCTCCCTGGCCACAGACCTGCTGCTTCCCACCCTCAAAGCCCATCTCTTTCCGTCTGCTTCCTCCACTGTGCTGGACCAGTCACCCAGTTGCCATAGCAACCGGTCCGAGCATCCTTTCTCCGGGGATTGGCACTCTCTAATCGTAGGTCCCACACAGGGACGATATCGCAGGGGAGCAGGTGTCCGAGACACTACAAGGAGGGCCAAGGGGTGCGCGACAGGGGCCTCCGCCCATCCCCTCTTCGCTCCTTTCCCTTTCAGCGCCGGAATCTTCCCACATCCTCTCTCCTAAGCTCTCAGATCCCGGAGCCTCCCCGGCGCCCACTCCCTGGGGCGACGCTCACCGTTTGTGGGGGTCTGGGTTGGGGTCGCCATGCTGAGCCAGAGCAGGGGGCTGCTGGATGCTGAGGCAGCGAGGACACGGCTGCAGCAGCTGGAAGCAGGACCGGCTGATGTGGGGGGGAGATGGGGGGAGCCCTGGTGTTGGGGGGGGCCTGTAGCCAATGGGGGCCCGGGGAGCCCGCCCCCGTCCAGGCCACCCCCGCCCCCGCCCCCGCCCACTGCCGTCGTCCCCGCCCCTTCCCCAAGGGTGGGGGCGCCCCCTGCCGGGGCCAAGGGGGCTCCCAGGCTTCGGCGCAGAGGGACTGACAGATCAACAAAGCGCCGTCAAGAGAGAAAAGCACGTTTTATTGGAAATCTGAGAGGCTCGGAGACTCAGTGGGGCAGGGCTGGGAAAGGGGGCAGTCTAGGTGGCAGGTGAGCAGGAGGTGAGTGGGACGCATCAGGTGCCAGGGGAATCCTGTGGGGTGAAAAGGGTGAGAGGCGAGGAAGGACCTCAAGCCCTCTCCTCCTCCCCCTCTTAGCCACCTGCCCAGGCTGGTACATCACCCCCTCTTCCTCCCTCCCGTGCCCCTCCCCGAGCCCAGGCGGCGCTGCAGGACCTGGCCGAGTTCCATGGCACCAGGTGTTTCTACCGCCTGCGGGTGGAGAGACCTGACGGGGACAGAGAAAGTTGGGGTGTCAGGAGGGGCGTCCCTGCGGAGGAAGGGCAACTCCCTGCCCACTGGCTTCAGCTCAAGTTCTCCCTTCACGCTGCCAGGGAGGGCCAGGAAAACGGCTCTTGGAACCAGCTCTCACCCCGCAAACACCCGCAGTCTCCCCAAACTCACGGCGGATGGAGCTGCGGAAAGTTCCCTCCTCTTCATCTGGTTCCCCAGTTCTGGGAAGGGAGAGCAGGGGGTGGGGGGGACACGGGATGGAAAAGGGGAGGCAGTGGCTTCCAGAAAAACCCCAATGAAGGCCTCATCTCCCAGACTGGTGCACGGAGTCCCACGTACCCCAACGAACGCGCTCGGGGTACGCCCCCGAAAAGGAGGAGCACCCGGGAGCAGTTTGTGTGGCAGAAGGCCGTCCAAACAGGTAACAGTGAGTACCACCGGGGATGCGGGGGAGGGGTGGTCAGAGGAACTTGGTAGACGGCCAGGAGGTGATCTGAGTTGGAAAACCCAGAATCCTCATCTCCCAGTGAGTGATCCTGAATAAGTGACTTTATCTCACCATACCTCGGTTTAATCATCTGTACAATGGGGGCTGGTAACAGCGCCTACCTGAAGAGGTGGTATGAGGGCCAAATAAAATAATATGCAAGGAAAGAGCGTCTGGCACGTGGTGTAACAGTCAACGCGTATTCGTTATTACTTATAGTGACATGGATCATTGTGTTAACACGAAGGTGTTCGCTCCATGGTATTCCTATGTTGGTTGTGCTTTAAACTTTTTATTTAAAGATGAATCAAAGAGCAAGGAATAAGACTCTGAGCTAAACTGGGCCGCCGTGTGAGATGATCTCATTTCACCGCGGCTCGCTCTCTATCAGCACTTTTGATATCGTGCTTGTGATTTTAATCCGTGGGGCTCTTGGAACCACCGCCACCGCCTTCACTGCTGGGCTGGGAGCTTGACCAAGCAAGTCAGGACGTTTACTCATCGCTTGGTCCCAGGTTTGGGGCTTGGCACATGGGAGGTGCTTCACACATATTCTTTGAGGGGTTCCTGGCTTCGGGTTGGCAGGACTTGCCGTCTCACCCCCAGCGCCCCTCTAAGAGCAGGCGAGGGGCGAGTGGGGGCTGGGAGGGCCTTCTTACCTCTGTTGCTGGTTGAACTTGCATCGGCATCTCTTGCCTGTGGGGGTGGGGACAGGGTCGCAGAGACTGAGATTGCGTCCCCCCCACGCGGGGCGCCCAGCCCAGCCGCGTTCTGACTGCAGCTCGCCCGGGTGAGGGGCGGGGCCGCGCAGGCAGGGGCGGGGTCGGGGCGGGGCGTGGGCGGGGCGTGGGCGGGGCGAGGCGCAGCACTCACTGAGAATGATGAGGATGCCCAGGATGAAGAGGATTCCGGCGATGGTGAGGCCTCCGATCCGCAGGGATTGGTAGTCTGAGGGCGGCAGGGTGCAGGGTGAGGGCCGGGGGAGAAGAGCGGGGAGAGAGAAGGAGAGCAGGGGGCAGGGCAGGGAGGAGGAAGGAGAAGAGGAGTGGGACAGGGAGGGGAGAAAGGGCAGGAGGCAGCAGCGGAGGGGCCTGAGACCCGGAGAGGGATCCCACAGAGCCAGGGAGAGGAGCAGGGAGGACAGGCACGCCCCGGCAGCCCTCTGACTCCCGGAATAGGTGCCGCCCCTCACCATAGGTGAATGGGTCGTGTTCCTGTGGCGCTTCTGGAAAGAGAGAGAGAGATCCGGGTTTGGATGCTTCCCAGGACTCTGAACCGGGAGAGGCGTCAAAAGACCCTGTGGGGGCTCCACCTTCCTGGGCTGAGAGTTGGGGGGCTGTTGGACCCGGGCAGACTGCCCACCCGCTCTGGACCCTAGACACCCACCCCCTCTGTACTGTACTGGGCAGGGGGTTTCAGTCGCTGCCCCAACACCCCCTGTACTACAGCCTGTCAATCTGGGGGGAGCCAACCCCCATCCCTCCCCACCTTTGCCTGACCTGGGGTGTCCATCCTCTCCCTTCCTCCAATGCCAGCCTGTGACTGGACCCCATGCGGGAGATCCCCAGTTTCCTGGAACTCCAGCTGAGTCCATTTAGGTAGGGGTCTCCCACTTGTTTTTCTCTAGGTTTCTGCCACCCGTGTCATTCGAGAGACTGGGGTGAGCAGTGGGCTGCCCCCGTGACTCACCTGCATTGGCTCTGGCAAGAAGACCCACGCAGAGAACCAAGATGTGGCCGACAGATGCCATTGTCCTGGGGGCACAAAAGGGCCAGGAAATGTGTACCCTCGTCCTCCCCATACGGGGGCCTGAACCCACAGGGTTAAGTCAGAGACCGTCAGGGACTTCATCACAAAAGTGTCAGTCGGCTGGCTTAGTGGCACCCCCTGCTTCACTGGGCCAGGCCGTGCCACCAAAGCGGCTTACACAAACAGAGCCCAACCCAGCAAGGGCAGAGCCACAGGTCTCCCACGGGCCTCTGCCTCCCCGCAGCTGGCCCCAGATTCCTCAAATCTACCCTCACAGGGGAGGCAGGATGCGGCCTCACCCAGGTGGAGAGACAGACACTCTGCAAGACAGCGGGACACACCCCAGTCCCACCTGCCTGCGCACCACGGCCTCCAGAACGAGCCCAGCCAGCGTCCCTGCCCCCTGCGCCTGCCCGCCCGCCGGCTCTGTCCGCTCTCAGCCTGACCCTGGGTATAAATATCTCCCACTTCACCCTGGAAGAATCCGCCTCACAAGGCCACCATGGAAACCGCCTTCCACCCCCCCACTTGGGGGTCATGCATAGTCCTGGTGGGGCGAGGCCTGGCGGCCACATCGCCACAGAGTAAGGCCACCCCTTGTCCTCTCCTGGAAACCAGCAGAAGAGGGAGAAACACCCGTTCCACCCGCCCCTGGGTGACATCTTTCATAACCAGACAACACCAGACAAGTGACATGAGGCCCAAGCTAGTGGGCCTGAGAGAAGACAGCGACCAGGGGCAGGGACACACACACACACAGGCGCACATACACGCACACACGGTGGGTGGTGCTGCCCTGGAGATGGACAACACCCTCCCAGCTGCTGGTGGGAAGAATGTGGGGTGTAGACAACCTCAGCACCCCCCCCTCCTCCTCCAGGCCCCCAGGGCCCCCGACAGTGTTCCAAGCAGACGCCACACCCAGCCAGGGGGCTCATGCGGCAGGGGGAGGAGTCGCACCCTGACTCCCAGCCTGCGGAACCCCACTGTCCCCACACTCTCCTCCCTCTGGGGTCAGGCCTGCCTGGGAAGCCACCCGGCTGGCCACTCCTGCTCCCAAAATAGGCCGCCCGGCAGGAGTGTGAAGAGGTCTGGAGGGGAGGGGTGGGGGGCGCTCACCCCAATCAGGCTGTCCCCTGCTGAAAGAAGGCCCCCAAATGTCCGGCTGTGCCCTGGGGGCTGAGCACTTTGGACCCCCGGGCCCAGAGCTGGACGCTCCGCCCCCCGCAGGCTCCCCTCCTGGCCCCACCCCGCCCTCCCCTCCCCAGCCAGCGGCTGTAACTGGAGCCGGGGCTGGAGGGGGGCCAGGGGGCGGCCCCCAGCCCAGACCGCGCTGGCCGCTAGGTTAACTCTCTCAACTCAGAGGAGGGAGCAGCAGGCGGCCGGCGTGGGGACTGCTCACAGACACAGACACACGTGCGCACACACATGCGTACACACATTCACATGTGGCATGGAGCTCTGGCACAGAGCTGGGGCGGGAGAGGGATCTCTGTGCTGCTTCCTGGGAATCGGGCCCAGCGGGGACTAGGGTCACTCAGTCCCAGTGCTTAGGAGCCTGTGCTCCCTGACCCAGCGCCTGTATTGTCCCTGACAGTGCCACAGGACGTGGAGGTGGGGCTTTGCTTGCATGTTTGTGAGTGCGTGTGTGGGTGACTGTGAGCTGCTCCGGGATGCACACCCCACACGACACACAGCCACGGAGAAACCCACAGACACACACCCCAGCCAGCACCTCCTACAGCCACCCCTGAACACCCCAACAAACATGGGCGCAGATGTACACCATCCACGTGACACCCGCAAAGAGACAGAGTCAAGACACAGTCACACCTCTGTTCGCTGGCACAAAGGGAAACAGAGATCCGCACCTTGTAAGGACACTCTCCCAAATGGCCTTACAGTGACACACCAGCACACACACACAGCACTCATAACCTCATTCAAAGGGACACACACACCCGGCACTCCCACGCCGTCTCCAAGACCTGAAGGCCCATAGACTTGGGTCCACACACACCTCATTTTCATGGGCACACAGGGAAGCAGATGGCCAAGGACCCGCCGTACGGCCAGCCACTCCTCCACGTGGCCAGCACAGATGCACACAGTGTGCACAGCCCACGCAGGGGCTATAGGGTGGACTGCTGGCTCTGCGTGTTTGCAGACACGCTGTGCTCACATACTCCAAAACCACAGTCATGTGCTTCATCCTGAACTGTCCTTTCCCTGAGAGCATGTCCGCTGGTGTCCTCATGGGTAGGCCAGGTTCACAGACCCTGGGGACAGAGAAACCTGGAGTCAGGTCTAGGCTGCACTCCTAGCTGTGTGACTTTGGGCCTCCCTCATGACCTCTCTTTGCCTCAATTTCCCCCACATACAAAATGGTGAAATCACTAAGGTCGTCCACGTAACCGTCTCTGCAGGCTCAGAGGTTTCTGGACCTGACACGTCTCATCTTCAACTCCACTTCACAGATTAAGAAAACCAAGGCGGTGGAGCTAATTCTCCTGAGGACCCCTGGCGGCTGAGGACAGAAACGCCCCTACCCTCAAGCAGTCAGACACCAGCGGGGACCCCACCAGGCTCGGAAGGACAGGAGCATGTGCTCGCACCCAGCACAGGTGTAGCCCTGACACACGCACGTGAGTGTTCACACACACATACACACACCCCTGGCTTCAGAGGACCCAGGAGACTTCAAAAGGCTCCCTCAGCCCTGTTAGCCCTCTTAGCCTCTGCCCCCGTGGCCCTGCATCCCAGGCCCTGGTTAATGATAACCCTGGTGTTTATGCAGCACCGAGGAGGAGGGACAGGCGAGCAAGGGGCAATAGGGACGGGTACCTGGCCCACTCCTGGCCAGTCCAGCTTCCCTCTCTCCTTCCTTCCCTTGACACTTTCTAGCTGTGTGATATTGGGCAAATGACTTAACCTCTCTGTGGCTATAATAATATTCATGTCAGAGGGAAGTTGGGATAACCATGTAGAACAATGAGAAAAAGCCGGGCACATAGGAAGTGATTAACAAAAACATAGTTAGCTGTTGTTATTGTTGCCAATGTCACTTCTTCTCGTCTTAAAGTGAAGTGAGAGCCCAGCTGGGCTGGCACACTGTGTGTGGGTGCAGGCCTGCCTTTGTCCCCTGTGTGTCCCTGGCACCAAGCTCTTTATCTGCACTTTCCAAGTCCCGGTCGAGAGGGTTAGCATATTTGCAGGACCAAGACGGAGCCAGAGTTCCTCCCCAAGCCTGCACCACTGTGGGGCGCCCACCTTGAGCTGAGCCCTGGAGGGTGAGTGGCCTCCGTCTTCTCACTGAGTCCTCTCCTCATGTTGGAAGTGGGTGTCCTGAATGTTCCCACTTGACAGATGGGAGAAATGAGGAGCCAGGAGGTGAACTGACTGGCCCCGAGGCCACAGGGGACTGTGTGACCTTAGGCGGGTGCTGTCGAGGCCCCTGTCCTTCAACAAGACTGCTGGGTGCGTCCCCCAGGGGCAAGAGAGGAAGTCTGTTCCTCCGTCAGGAGCGTGAGTCTCCTGGTCTAGGCAAGGCGGTGGTACAGACTGGTGGTCAGGCTTAGAGCCGACTGGCACCATGAAACTAATCTCTCACCCTCTCTGTTGGTCAGTCTTCCTGTCTGTAAAGTGGGGATAGCAAAGCTGCCCACCTCACAGGGTTACGGGGAGAGCTGAGTCAAACCATGGAAGGAATGGCACGTAGTAAGTGCTCAGTAAACACCGTTGCTATGTCCCCTTAGGTATCGTTTATGAATCTTTATCAGTGGACAGACTCTATCCACATCACTAAAAGCTTAGTCCGAATTAAAACAGTCCGTTATCCACATACCCATGAATTTGGATCTCTGAAGACAGAAGCCAACATGGAGCCAGCTGCCAGCTGGGCTGGACTCCTGGCCCGGCCTCTGACTCGGACACCCAGAGCTCAGGTGCTTGAGCGCTGTCCTCAGTTCCTCTAGCTGTGCACTAACCCCAGAGGGCTGGGGCGAGATGAAAGTAGTAGATGAACTCTTAGGTTGAGGTTAGTTGCAGAGTAAGTGTTAAAAGGAGGTGGCATTGTCTTCGTTATGTCCATGGGTCAAGTCTCTGCCTGGAATGGTGGTGGGTATCTAAAGGGTTAATTTCCGGGGGGGGGGGGAAGGCAGGGAGGTCTTGGGTTTGGGATAAGGCAACTGTCCTACCAAGTGTGGCCACCAGAGGGCGCAACTGGACCTGAGCTGCCCCTGGGCCTCAGTGACAGGGACCACCACGCCCTCCTGGGGCCAGAAGGGGGCTGGCTGGGAGTGGCCAGGACCTCCCCCAGCTCTCAGGAGTGGCCTGTCCTCCACTCCCCCTCCAGTCTGCCGGGTCATTCAGTCCCCACCCGGGTGACATCCTCCTCACAGTCCCTGGGTGAGGCTGAGTAGGGGATTCTGGGGAGGGGGCTGGCTGGGAGTGGCCAGGGCAGCTCCATCCTTGGTGGCCCCACCCCCTCCCAAAGGCCTTTCAGTCCCTTCCCCAGGCCGCTCTTCCTATGGCCTCTGACCCCCTCCTTCTCCCTACCCTGCTCGGCACGTCCCTTCCCCAAACCTTCAGGGAGAAGCAGGGAGCAGGCAGAGGGACAATAGGCCACCCGAAAGACAGGGCCCTGCAGAGACAGACAGACAGACACACAAAGACATAAGGAGGGACGGAAGTGGGCAATGGACTGATACAGACAAAGACAGGGAGAGGCAGAGAGAGTCACAGAAAGTCAGAGACCACAGGACACAGGGACAAGGGCCGGCAGAGGGACCGAGGACGAGGGCGCAGAGCGAGGTCAGGGTGCGGAGCCCAGCAGGCAGCTGCAGGGGCCTCTGGCAGAGGAGATGTAGTGGCCTGGGCCAGGCTGGCTGCGAGACAAGTGGTGCCTCGGCTGGGGGCAGGGGGCATGGGACGCTCGGGCATCCTTCTGCTGCTGCTGCTGCTGCTGGCCGGGCCGGGGGTGGGGGTGGCCTGGAGGCCCCCAAAGGGCAAGTGTCCTCCACGCTGCTCCTGCTCCAAAGACAGTGCCCTGTGTGAGGGCTCCCAGGACCTGCCAGAGAGCTTCTCCCCGACGCTGCTGTCACTGTGAGTGTCGGGCCCTCTGTGGGCCTGAAGGTGGGCGCCGGATCCTGGGCCTCTAGGGGCAGGCGGGGTAGGCGGGGGCCCACCTGATCCTGGGCAGCAGAGGCTGTCGGGATGCCTGCCCAGGGGCTGCTGGGACCTGGGATGGGGCAGGAGGTGTATGGGGACCTGGAAGGGGGGGTGGCCAGGGACTGGGCTGAGCGCTTGCCAGGACCCTCGCCACCCAAAGGGGAAGCGCACCCGGGGTCAGGTGCAGGCCAGGGCGTGGGGCAGCAGTGGGATCTGGGTTGGGGACCAGAGGGCCGGAGTGGTTTTCTCCTCACTGCCACTGCCACATCCCCAGCTCACTCGTGAGGACTGGAGTCACCCAGCTGAAGGCCGGCAGCTTCCTGAGGGTGCCGTCCCTGCACCTGCTGTGAGTGGGCCTCGCCGAGCGGCAGGGAGGGAGTGGGCGTCTTGCACATGCGTGTTGGTGTGGGCACATGTGGCCATGAGGGTGTCCATGCACAGGAGAGAGTGTGTGCGCACCCGTGTGTCCCTGTCAGAATCCCTCTGTCCCTGCACGTAGTCCCCCACGTGCATGTGAGTGTTCCTGTGCCTGATGGGGCTAATGGAGGGGGATAAGGCCAAAATGTCAGAGAGGGGTCCTCATCAGTGAGGGGTCCTGAACCCCGGCAACCGCCTTCTCGCCCCCTGCAGCCTCTTCACGTCCAACTCCTTCTCTGTGATCGAGGACGACGCATTTGCCGGGTTGTCCCACCTGCAGTACCTGTGAGTGAGGCCGGGCTGGGGGCAGGTGGCCTGGGAGGAGGAGAAGGGGCTTCTGGTGGCGCCCAGAGTCAGAGGCGGTAGGGACTGTGGGTCTGCAGTGGAGGTGTCTGGACAAGGGCCCTCAGACCTGCTCCTGAGGCCGTGTGAGGGCTCCAGATCAGCTGTGTCGTCTAGGGCTGCTCACCTCGCCTCTCTGTGCTTCAGATCCGCAAAGCGCCTAGATAGCCAGGCTCGGTTTCTGGCCCCCTCCTGACTCTCGGGCACCTGGGGAGGATACCAGCGGGAGGAAATGTTTAAAATGAGCTGGAAACAGCTCCCAGTAAGGAGTTGGCGACAGCGTGATGGCCATACTAAAGGGAGGGATGCCGTTGCTGACGCCAGTGGAAGTGGTGGCCTTGTCACTGACGACGGAGTGTCAGTGCTGTTGACAAAACATGGCAAACCTTGCAGTGATGGTTCTGTTAGTGGAACTGATGATCAAAGCCTGCGGGGCAGTGCTAGAGACGGTCACCAGGCCCATGGGCACTGGTCAGTATGCACTGACGTTGGTGTCAGTGGTGGCTTGGAGCAGGACGCTGGTGTCAGTGTTCATGACAGTGTTGTTGGTACTGGGGTTTTCACCGATGACAGAGGTGTCGTTATGTATACAAGCTGTGACAGCGATGACACTGGCGGTGGGTGACCAGAGTGTTGGGGATAATGGCGACGCTGGTATTGATGCTGGATCACGGAGGCGGCGTTGGTGAGGGTGGTGGCAGGATGTGGGGTGTTGGTCGTGAAGCCTGGTTGCTGGTGAGGTTCATCGGTGTCATCCGCCTGGAGTTCCCTGATGGACGTTGACGATGGACGTGTGTGGCGATATTGGTGGCCTGTGTGGTCCTGGGGACGATGGCAGTTATTGGTGGTAGGGTAGGTGATGGTGATGGTGGCATGGGTGTTGAGATGCAGGCACTGGTACTGGTCATAAGGGATGATAGTGGGACCTGTGCTGTTGTCGGTGACAATGGCGACAGCGTCCATGGTGAGGCTGGCTCCAGTGGCCGTGGATCAGGCCTTCAGGGGGGACAGGTTTCTGGGGAGGCTTTCCCTGGGACTGCCCGAGGTGCTGAGAGAATGCAGCACCCGTGTGGCCTCTGAGTCCCCTGCCCCGTGGGCCTCCCCTCATCCCGCCTCCCTCCACAGCTTCATTGAGGACAATGAGATCGGCTCCATCTCCAAGAACGCGCTCCGGGGACTCCGCTCGCTCACACACCTGTGCGTGCCCGTCCCGCCTCCTCCACGGCACCCCCTCCACGGCACCCCCCTCCTCCACGGCACCCCACCCTCCTCCACAACACCCCCCTCCATGGCACCCCTCCTCCTCCATGGCACCCCGCTCCTCCACGGCTCCCCTCCTCCACGCACCCCCACCCCGGCACCCCCACCCAGGACACAGCGCCTCCTGGCAGCTGCGGATGGCTCCTTCTTTGTCCCCTCCAGAAGCCTGGCCAACAATCACCTCGAGGTCCTGCCCAGATTCCTGTTCCGGGGCCTGGAAACCCTGACTCACGTGTGAGGCTCCCGGGGTGTGGGGTGCGGGGGTGGGGGGTCTGGGGGCGGGGCCTGGCGCTGTGGAGGCGGGGCTGGGTTGGCAAGGGTTGCAATGGTTCTGACGTATTTTCCATGCCATCTGGGGACCCCAGGGGAGGGGGCAGGGTACGTGGCCTCCGAGGGTCGCAGCCCCTTCCTGGCCTCTTGCACCAGGGACCTCCGTGGGAACCCGTTCCAGTGCGACTGTCGCATCCTTTGGCTGCTTCAGTGGATGCCGACCGTGAACGCCAGCGTGGGGACGGGGACCTGTGCAGGCCCCGCTGCCCTGACTCACATGCAGCTCCGCCACCTCGACCCAAAGACCTTCAAGTGCAGAGCCATAGGTGGGGACTTTCCCAGTGGGGAGGGAGGGACTGCAGGGTCCCCAGGAGAAGGCAGGAGATGGGGGGAATGGCTGCCAGGCCTGAGGAGCTGACCTCACTCCCTGCCCTGCCATTTCCTGGCTTCGAGACCCCGAGCACATGGCATCACCACCCTGAGCCTCAGTCTCCTCATCTGTAGAATGGGGATAATAAACAGTGACATAGGATTGCTGCGAGGATTCCATGCTATGTCTCCGCCTGCTCAGCACTGGACCCAAGGCCTGGGGCAGGAGGCTCTTACAAATGTTCACTCTCATCGTCCTTAATATAAAGTCACTTACTTGTAAAACACTTCTTTCTTTATTTTTTTTGGTGGTGGTGCTGGGGCTTGAACCCAGGGCCTGTCATGCGAGGCAAGCGCTCTACCACCTGAGCTACACCCCAGCCCAACACTTTCTTTCTGTTGTGCTAAAAACTGCATATGCCAATCCCCTCACTTCTATTTCCTTTCCTTTTGCTTTTCCATAAATACATTTTGGTGACTCTGTGGGTATCGGCCAAGGCAGAAAGCACAGCAGGAACAAGACAGCCCAGGTCTTGGCTTCCCAGAGCCCATGCCCAGCCCCACACAGTGACCGCCCAGAATGATCAGGGCCAGGACGGGCAGTCGGAGGCAGAGGGGCCTGGGGTGGGATGGGGGAGCACAGTCAGAGAAATAAGGCCAGGACCGAGGCCATGGGAACTGAGGAGTCCAGAGCCAGGGCCGGGGTCACACAGAGTTGAGCGGGAGTCAGGAAGGGCTTCCTCAAGGAGTGGACATTTGAAGTGTCCTTACACAGATGCTATTAATATAGCAACAGTGATCGTAACATTATCTACTGTGAGACATGTTTGTGGTGTGTGGGACTCACAGAGCAAGGGGACTGAGCTCAGCGATTATTATTATTATTTTTTTTTGAAGGGGAAGGGAGTGCCTCGGATGCAACCCAGGGCTTCCCACCTGTTAGGCAAGCGCTGTACCACTGAGCCCCATCGTTCACTCTTGATTCAGTTATTCAACGAATACTTAGTGAGATCCACTAAAATATGGCACAAACAAACTGATGACACATTCTGATCACACAGGGAGTCGTGAGGGAGGCATTAGATCTGAATTTAGCTACTGGAAAAGGAGAGGGAAGGGCACTGCGTGGAGAGGGAACAGCATAAATGGTGGCCCCGAGGCAGCCTAGAGCTGTTTGAGGATCAAAAGACCAGTGTGGCTCGGGTGGTGCCTGAAGGGAGAGAGTAGAGATGAGGTCAAAGCTGGCAGGGGCCCCACCATGGAGGACTTTGAAAGGCACAAAGAGTAGGGTCAAGGGGGAGCCATGGAGGATGTGGCCCAGGCATGGACATGATTTGATGGGCATTTTTATAGGAACTCTCTTTGGCTGGGCATCACTGCTTCCACCTTGGCACCTGGGATCTGGACGTGTAGGGTGACGTAGTATATGCTAGAGTCACAGCATGGCACCCACTAACGACCAGTACCTTGCTAGGCCAGATACCATTAAAGCTAAGTGGTTGTAACAAAAAGCCCGAAATACCACGAATTGAAGAGGTGAGCGGAGGTGAGCTGCCCAGGTGGGTGGGGCAGCTCCTGGGTGCTGTCCTGGTTTCCATGGTTGAACTCAGGTTTGACGCTTCCATGTGCTAGCTCACGAGAAGGAGGGGAATGAAGTGTGCATCACGCTTCTGCTCCTGACATGACCACACCTAACCTCCAGGGAGAGTGCTCCTGGGGGTGCCAGGATAATGTGGCTTCCAGCTGACCAGCCCACCGGCTGCCTGGACCACTGAACCTCCGTCGCTTCATCTTTAGAGATCATGACAGAGTGTACCTCACTGGAATGTCGTGAAGGCCAGTGAATGACTAAGTGGCCGTTTCGGAGGGATCATTTGATGGGGCCACTCATCTTAGAAAATCAGGACGCAGCCCGAGTTAACCCTGCCATAGACAAGAGGACTCCACTCTCCATGTCCCTGTGGGGTGAACGCCATGAACAGGACCCTCCTTTCAGAGCTGTGCAAATCAAGGCTCAGCAATGAGGACCCTGGGGTCCCCGGGGCCTACCTGACTCTCTCCTGCCACCCCCAGAGCTGTCCTGGTTCCAGATGGTGGGGGAGTCGGCGCTGGGCGTGGAGTCCTTCTCCTACCAGGGGGAGCCCCACATCATCCTGGCCCAGCCCTTCGCTGGCCGCTGCCTGATCCTCTCCTGGGACTATGGCCTGCAGCGCTTCCGGACGGAGGATGAGCTGCCGGGTGAGTGCTCGCCCTGTCCCTGTCCCCTGTCTGCCCGGCCCTCTGCCCCTGGACCTGACAGCCTGCTTGCTCCCCCTCAGCGCCCTCCGTGGTGTCCTGCAAGCCCCTGGTGCTGGGCCCGCGCCTCTTCGTGCTGGCTGCCCGACTGTGGGGAGGATCCCAGCTGTGGGTACGGCCGGGCCCCGACCTGCGCCTGGCCCCGATGCAGGCACTGGCCCCCCGACGGCTGCTGAGGCCCAACGACGCGGAGCTCCTCTGGCTGGACGGGCAGCCCTGCTTCGTGGTGGCCGATGCCTCCAAAGCTGGCAGCACCACACTGCTGTGTCGGGACGGGCCCGGCTTCTACCCACGCCAGAGCCTGCACGCCTGGCACCGGGACACGGACGCCGAGGCCCTGGAGCTGGACGGCCGGCCCCACCTGCTGCTGGCCTCGGCCTCACAGAGGCCTGTGCTCTTCCACTGGTTCGGTGGCCGCTTTGAGAGGCGCACGGACATCCCAGAGGCTGAGGATGTCTATGCCACACGTCACTTCCAGGCTGGGGGGGATGTGTTCCTGTGCCTGACGCGGTACATCGGGGACTCTATGGTGAGGCTTGGCCCAGTGTGTGTGTGTGTGTGTGTGTATGGGGGGGCGCTATAAACTGATCTGGCCTCACATGCTGACCTTTGAATTCTGATCCCATCCCAAAGATGACTGCAAGACTGTGGCCCCTCAAGGCTATCTTTGTCTAAATCACTCCCCAAGATTCTGATTCTACACCCTAAATTTGGCTCTGCATCTTGGACACCCTCCAGGACTGACTTTAGCCCCAGCCCCTGTCCCCCGCATCCTGACAAGGCTCCTCTGAGCCTGATGCAGATGTTGGGTCCTGCCCTTCCTCTCTAGCACTGTCTTTCCAGAGCAAGGTGCAGCCAGGGGAGGGGGCTCCCCTCTAACTAGGGCATTCACAGGGTCTCTGGTGGGGAACAGACTGGGACAAGGACAGGAACTAGGACCCAGGAAGGAGGCTGGAGAGGATGGAGGCTGGGCCAAGGTGCGTTAACAGGAGTGGACAGCATACACAGCTATTGTAGGTAAAACTCACAGGTAGCCTTGCTGATCCGTGCAGTGTGGGGCCGAGGGAAAGCGCAGGGTCAGCTCACAGCTGACAACTCTGACTTAGCAGCCTGAGCAGCTGGGCACACACTGATAGGATTAAGCAGCTGTGGGAATTTGAGGACGAATGGGCCTGTTTCCAAGCGTTCCAAGTTCTCTAGACCCTCAGGATGACAGGAAGACCTGCCCCTCCCAAGGCCTCAGGCCCTAACTGGCCACCTTCTCCCCAGGTCATGCGCTGGGACGGCTCCATGTTTCGCCTGCTGCACCAGCTCCCTTCCCGGGGTGCCCACGTCTTCCAGCCTCTGCTCATCGCCAGGGACCAGCTGGCCATCCTAGGCAGCGACTTTGCCTTCAGCCAGGTGCTCCGCTTTGATCCCGACAAGGGGCTCCTGGAGCCACTGCAGGAGCTGGGGCCTCCTGCTTTGGTGGCCCCCCGCGCCTTTGCCCACGTCACCTTAGCGGGCAGACGCTTCCTATTCGCAGCTTGCTTCAAGGGCCCCACGCAGATCTACCAGCATCATGAGCTGGACCTGAGTGCCTGAGACTGGGCAGGACTCTAGACATGGCCGAGCGCTGGCGTGGGGAGCCTTGGGCATCTGGATGACCTGTTGGCTGGCCTTCTGGCCCCACTTGGGGTAATGACCAGACCTGTGAGATGCTGACCACAGGCCAAGTTCATCAGCTCCAGGTCCAAACCCTAGCCCACCTCTTGGAGGAACTGCCACTGGGAGACATGGAAGTCCCAGCCTGAACTGCCCTCCCAGTTGGAAGCAATATCTGGCGGGAGAGAGATGCCGGCTCTTGGTGACTTGGAAGCTCAGGCTGGGGCACTGCTTGGAGCCCAAACACCGCATCCCCCCTTGATGCGCAGAGTCCCGAGAGGTCTGGAAGTTCTCCCTCAACGACTCCCACCCAATCTGCTTCCTGCGAAAGCTCCAAAGACAGAATTCCTTTCCCTTCCAAATTCAATCCTGCCAATCGCTTTCATGGAGTCCTGCCCGGCCCCATGACGTCACAGTTGCTGGGCAGTTTTTCCTGCCAGACCTGTTCCTTCTCTCAGCTGCTTAGGCGCACGTCTGCTGCCAGAGGCGGTGACCTCGCGTTTCGTTCCTCTTGCGCGTGCGCGCGCAGGCGGGGGGGGGGCGGTGTGGGGAGGGGGAGAAGTTGGGATTGGAGAGGTGCAGTTGAAGCGCGGGTACCCCTCCCCGAAGGGCGACAGGGGAAAGGACAGAAGGTACGAGTTCAATAAATGCGCTGGGCACTAACTACCCTGCCCGTTGTTGTGGGGTCATTGGGAGAGGGGGTCTTGTGAATGGCATGGGGGCTGGGGGTGACCCTAGAGTCCTGTCATGGCCAGGGGGAAGGCATTTTGGCTCTTCACGGGGTCTCTAAGGAGAGTGGGCTCATGGGATGTTCAAGAGATAGAAGGGTGTGATCAGAGGGCAGGGGTTTACTGGGGTCTCTATTTAGAGGTCATGTCCCAGGGCATTGTAGGAGATATTTTTGGATGTTTTGAAGGGTTTGGGGCATTTTGTGGGAACATTTAGGTTGGATACTGGGGAGACTCCTGGGAGTTTAAGGCTCAGAGAAGATTCTCACATCGTGTGGCCATTAGATACTATTAAGGGTGTTATAGGGAATCATTTAAAGGTCTCATTGGGACATTTGGAAAGTTCTCCAGTGAGGAGACCCTAGGGGTCTTACTGTTACAATCATAAAATTGAGCACTCCCTGGTGGTGGGATAATTCCTTATCCTTGTTTTCCTGGGATGGTCCCAGTGTTCACCTGAGCGCCCAGCATCCAGGGGTTAGGGCTCTCTTGCATCACAAAGTGTCCCCCATTAACACTGGAACATCTTAAAGTGCACACAAGCCTCCCACGGCCTGGAGGCAGAGAGCAGGCCCCGTGCCCTCTAGCAGGCAACGAGAAAGAGCAGAGGACAGGCTTTTCCCAGCTAAGATCCACCCGCTAGCTGCCTGCCAACCCGCAGCCACCTCCCCCAGGCCCCGCCCCGCCCCGGCCGGCCCCGCCCCGGCCGGCCCCGCCCCGCCCCGGCCGGCCCCGCCCTCGTCCAGCCCCGCCCCGCCCTCGCCCAGGCCCCGCCCAGTCCAGGCCCCGCCCTCGCCCAGGCACACACGGTGAGTCTGCTGGCTGCCCGGGCTGCAGGCCGGATGGTTTTGTATTAAAACATTGAACAAAGAGCTCCCTCCCGTGAGCCGTGAGGCGAGGCCCCAGCAAGGCAGCCTGGGGAGGGGCTGGAGGATGTTACCCTGGAGTTCAGGCTCCTGTGGACAGCCAGGACTTGGGGACAAAGACAGGCCCTTCCTTCAGCTGGTCCAACCTCAGCAGTTGTGGGCAGAGCCTAGGAGAGGGGATGGGATTAGCCTGGAGGGGTGGATGGAGTTCTTTGTCCCCAGGGTACGTGTATGTGCACAGCCCCTCCTTGACCCCTGTCCCCCTCAGTCCACGCTGATCCTCTCTTACCTGGAGTGATGAGAGGTGGGGCATCCCCTGGCCGGTGACTAGGGGAGAAAAAAGGTGGTGAGATTCACCTCCACCCGTTTGTCCTCTCCCTCAGGTGAGAGGGGTCTCTGCTCACCCAGACCTGGCTTCCTGGCTATTTTCCAGGAACTAAAGCATTTCAGAATTTGGGGCCTTTGGGGAATTATTAGCTATGAACCATAAACCTTAGAAATAGGCGTGGCAGAACCCTGAGTCTTATCCCCTTGGGGGAGACTTGAAAGGCTCTTTCCCCCTGAAGAGTGTTCATTCTGCAAGAGGAGAGCAGGCAGGAACCGCCTTACCTGGGCTTTGGGCCGAATCTGCATTTGCATTTTCCACCTGTTGGGAGAGTGAGCAGTCAAGGGAGGGGACTCCAGGCTTCGCCCCGCCCACTGCCCCATCAGCCCCTGCGCTCACTCATGAGGACAATGATGCCGATGGCGCACAGGACCCCTGCACAGATGAGTCCTCCGACCCGAAGGCTGTACCAATCTGGGAGAAAATCAGAGGGGACCTCAAGGCCAACCCGGGTCCTTTCTATCCATCGCCCCATCCACTTGACAAATAGGTACTGATCACCCACCATGTGCAGGGCACTGGGGATAGAGAACAGGACAGAACCCAAGCCTGACGGTGCACACCTTCTAGTTTACACCCAGGCAAACAAGATATTTATTGTCAGGTCAGGTGGAGATAAAGCGATCTGAAGGAAAATAGCCAGAGCTGGGAACTGTGAGTCAGAGGGCAGCTGTTTTAGAGAGAGTGGTTAGGGGCCACAACTCTGAGGAGGCCACAACTAAGCAGCCATGTGCAGGAGGTGAAGAAAAGAGCGTGTGGACATATGATAGGAAGTCTCCAGGCAGGGGGATCCACAGGTGCAAAGGTCCTGTGGCTGGCAGTTCTGTGTCTGAGGACCAGCAGGAGGCCAGTGTGGCTGAAGCAGAAATGAGGGACAGTGGAGGAAGTGAGGGCAGAAGGACAAGGGGGAGCAGAACAGTGGAACGTGGTAGGAGAATGCTGATGTAGGTAGAGTCCCTCACCTCTTCCAGGAAGTCTTTCATATAAGCCCTTCTTCTAACAGTTGGTTTGAACCTAATGGCTTCTTGTGGTCTGCCCTCGATTTCTGAGTGTATCTAACTATCTTGCTAGATGAGAATCTTCCCCCAGGCCATGCTGCTGCCTCTTGTTCCTGTGACCCACATCTGACCCTCCACCCATCCTGTGTGGGGACTTGGACACAAGATGGCATGGGGGGTTGGGAGGAGACAAGAAGCCGGGCACCAGCTCTCACCGTAGAAGAAAGGACTGTTTTCATCTGCAAGGAAAGAAAAAAAAGAACATGAATCAAGGACAGCAGCAGTTCGCAGGGGTCCCAGGGGTGGGTGGGGGACCTCTGACTCACCTTCCGGGTCGCTGGCGTCCAGTGCAGACAGACCTGGCGGGGACCAGAGGGAAGGAGGGAGATGGTGATGTGTGGAAGGTCCAGGGGGCCTTGGGAGAGGGTCCCTGGGGCACAGGGAGTCCCAACCCAGTCTCGCTGCCTTGGCGTCCCATCATGGAGACATGGACTTGCCCACTCACCCCCACACCTTTGAGTCACACCAGCCACTTGTCACCTGAAATAGGTTCTACTCTGGGTGGCTTTGGGCCACCGTTCAGTTGCCTGTTTCCAGACACATGGCTAATCCACACCTCCTGCAGAGGTGGGGGGACTTCTCTTATCAAGACGACGTATGGATTTGGCTCCCAAGGCTCGGTTTCCCCCAAGCCAGCCAGATCCATCACCTCCCTTCCTGATTCTGCCACATCCCCCCCACACCTGGGCTGGCATCTGCTCACCATCCCCTGCAAAGTGACTCCCTATTACCGACTTAAATACACTCGAATGTGACTTTCCATGCCTACCCTGAACGGAATGCCAGCCCTGCCCAAAGCAACAGAGAAAGTAAAATGCAGAAGAAAGAAAAAGGCTAGGATTAAATTCTGGTTCCAAGCAGCCGACTGCCCCAGCTCTGGGCCTCAAACTTCTGCTGAAGGGAGATGAATTATTTTTAATCATATTTGAAGCCCACGCCCCGTGCGGGCTGTACCGAGCATGGTTCTAAGTGCTTTTCAAATATTAACTCGCTTAATCCTTGAAATGACTCCGCCAACGGGTGCTCTTACTCTCCTCACTTTGACAGATGGGGAGACTGAGGCGCGGAGTGTTCTGGTCATTTCTCCTGCTCGGCTCGGCTCCCAGCAGCCTCTTGGAATAGTTTAGGGGTGCCTTAGCGACACAGCCCTAGGCCCTGTCTCCTCAGAAGGTTGACAGTTGACAGGGGAATGGGGAAGACGGTGGCTTTCTAGCTGTGTGGGCTGCTGCTAAGAGAGGCCTTGACTTTCCTTGTGTGTCCCTTGAAATCATGAATATGACCCTACGCCCCTAACAGTGACCAGCTTCCCGGGGCAGATAGAAAAATGCAGACCCGCGCATACCCACAGGCTGGGCACCACCTGGCTGGGGTCCCGGGGAAAAGACAACTCAGGGCCTGGGGCTCACCTGACAGGAGGACGAGCAGCCTGAGAGCCACCTCTCGCATGTCGGACGGACCTACAGGAGGCCAGGAAGCAGGCGCAGCATTAGCAGGGCCACGGGGGGTGCCCGTCCCGTGCCTCTGGCTCCTAGTGCCCTCCTCCCGGCCTTCTGCCCAGAGAAGCCTGGCCCTGAGACTGGCCGGGCTGAGACAGGAAGGAGGCCCAAAGTCAAGTGGGGGTGGGGAAGGTCTCAGGCCCGATGAGGAAACAGCTTCCTCAACCCACCGGGGAAGGGACTGTAGGCCCTCAGTGAGTCACTCTGGCAACCAAGCAAGGGAGCCCGGCCTGCTGCTCTCTCCGCCTTCCAGGTGGGGAAACTGAGGCTCTGAGAGGTGACTGCTGGTGCCCCAGGTCACTTGGCCAGGAAGCAGGATTGCAACCAGGCCTGGCTCCCTGGTGGCTGTTCCTAACTCCGGGCTGTCAGGGCCTCGGGGTGTTTGGGAAAGCAGGTGTCAGGAGCCAGGTGGCAGCAGGCCCGGGTGCTGGGGAGTGTCTCCCATAGACAGCGCGGAGCCTGCCCAGCTCTGCCCAGACTTTGCAGGCCTCAGACAGGGGCTGAGCTTCCCCTCGGCTGCAGGGCAGGGTGGAGGGAGGAGAGAAGCCAGGCTGGGGCAGGGGGCTGGGGAGGACAGACTGGGCTGGTACTGGGGGCAGCCCAGCTCCACCTTTTGTCCCACGGTACCCTGCCCGCCTCGGCCCCCACTTAGTCCTGTCCTTGACTCCCGTCCTCCCCAGCCTTGGCCTCCTGGCCCTTCCCAGCCCTGCTCCCTGGCCCATACCTTCCTCCCCGTCCCTGGCAACAGGCCCCTCTTCCCCAGGTAGGCCTGCCCAGCACCTAGGACACTTTCCCCTCCCTCCCTGGCCCAGTGTCAATCTTGTGCCCACCATGCGTACCTGCAGTAAGCCCTGCCCGCTCTACCACCCCCGCACGTGTCATGGGAATCCTGACGGCAGGAGCAGAACCCTCGACCACCCTGCGCTGGACACTGCCCAGAGACCTCGCTGTGCTCTCAACCCCCAGCAACCCCTGAGGCCAACCGTCATCTCACTGATGACAGCATACATGCTCGGCGGCTGGGGGTGCAGGTCTGTCCTGCATGTTCACAGGCTCTTCCATCTCCCTCTCCACCTCCCTGGCCTGGGAATGTCACAGCTCCCCTGTGACACCGGCTCGCAGTCATTTTAGCAGGAGCATTCATTGCCAGCCATCTGAAGTGGCCTGTGTGTTGTCTAACGCTACCTCACAAGGTTCTTGATGACACAAACACTGGCAATAATAGCTGGTGCTTGCTGAGCGCCCGCCCCACGTGGCGCTGTCCTCAGCTCTTGATATCGTTCATTTAGATCACCTTCACAGCTTGATGGAGCTGGCACTATCATGATCCCACGCTGCTGTCACAAACCCTGTCACCCCTGAGAATTCCACTTGATACCATATGCTTCGCATCCTGGGACTGCTGGGTCTCTCCTCTTCCTCTCACCACGGACCTCTCTCCAAGCACCCCCTGGCCTGCCAGGCTCCATGGTCCCCCAAAACCAAGAAATCACCCTGCACCCAAGACTGGGGAGGGGGAGCTGACGGATCCCTCAGCTGTACCCTCCCGGCCAAGGGGCCCCACACCAGCTGGAGGGCTGCATTTGCCACCTGCCCGCTGCTGTCCCCTCTGTTCTTGGGAGCTGGTGGCCAATGACCACGACTTCACGGGTGTGCAGAAAGACCCCTCCTCTCCGTGTCCCTGAAGTCTAACTCACTCCCTGTTTTCTGGCTTCCCCGGTGGCATCCTCTCCTTTTCCTGGAGGTCTGTAGATCCACGCGCCTCCCGCCACGCCCTGAAATACCCTCGATCTACTTAAATACCCCGGCCACCCTGACACCCCAATCCTGACACTTCTGTTCCGCTCAGACGTCCCCAGGTCCCACAGACCCCGCCAGTCTTTCCAGACCCCACCTACAGGTCTCATCCTGCCCTAGCTGCCTGGCTCAGTCCCTGCGAGGAGAATGAAGGGGGGCGGTCACAGGAAGGGAGGGGGCTTCCTCCAATCTCTGGCCATCAGAAAAGGACCTTGGAGGGGGACGGTTCTCAGGGGTCTTGCGGGAGAGGGCCCTGGTGCTCACCTGGTGCTGGCTCCTCTGGTAGAGCTGAGGTTCCGGGAGAAAGCCAGTTGCCAGTGGAGTCCTAGTTCTGACTCTATCTGCAGCTGCCACGCCCTGAGCAAACCTGGGCAGGTAGAGAACCAGCCGGGCTCCCTAAGGCTGGGGGCTCCCCCACCCCATTCCTGCTCTTAAAGAGACAGCTCCACCCCCTCCCCAGTCACGGCCACAGGTCACCAAGGGTTCAGCAGCCTCAGGTGAGGTGCAGGGAGAGCAGGATGGGCTGGGACTTGGTCCCTTGAATTAGGGGTGGGACTTTCTCTAATCTCCTGAAACCAGAAAGAGATCTTGGAGGGGGAAGGTTCTGGGGTCTCTGATGGCAGAGCTTCTGTCTGGCAAGATTGGGGAGAGAGGTGACCCATCCACCTAGCAACCGTCCTTCTTTGGCTTGGGTGGTGTGTTTTGCTTGGGGGAGGGATTACTGGCCACTATGGGGGTTTAAAGTCCCTTTCAGGCCACATGTCTTTGTTGACACCATTTGAGGGTCAGTAGAAGATGCTGATATGATCAAGGTCCTGATGTGAAGGAGACACGGGAACACCAAATAAGGGTGCCCGGACCAGGCCACCACCCCCAGCCTGCCCTGGAAGACTAGGCTCCCTGGCCCTTGCTCCTCCCAAGGTACTGGGAGCAAGGTTCCTGGGTCCACAGCGCGGTGCTAGGTGGGGGGCTGCCTCCCACTCCAGAAGGTCGCCTGCCCTGTGCAAGGCCCTGTCCTTCTCTCTCCGGTCACCCCCGCCTCACAGCATTCCTTCCGGCTGGGGTCTGTAGAGGCCCCCACATGGTCCCTGTTGGGGGTGCCCCCTCCCCCTAATTCTGCCTTCTTAGACAGAGGGACTTTTGTCTGGGGGCTGGAGAGAGAACAAGGCACCATTGAGCGGCTGGCAGAGGATTGGGGTCACGGGGAGGGGCAGGGCCAGGAAAGGGTGGCTCTGCACTGGCCACCAGCTGGACTCCAGGCGACCCCCAACACCCCCGTGGGGGAGGGGAGGCGGCGGCAGGCCCCAGGCCAGGGAGCGGGTGTTCTTGGGAGTGTGCAAAGCAGAGCAGGAAAAGGGTATTTGGGGTCGACTCAGGGAAGTGGGGGCAGGGAGAGGAACCCCGCTTCTCATCAGGGAGGGGCAAGCCTTGCTGTTCCAGATACAAGCCTTCTGTTAGGATTTTCCCTCCAGCAGTTTCTCAATTCCGGGCCCCAGACTAAACCAAGCTCCGCCACCCCCCACCCCCACCCCCGTGAAGGAGGGGCCCGTCCGCACAGGAGAGAGGGACAGTCAGGGCACAGCTCAAAACAGAGGAGTGCGGGGAGATAGAAGCAGAGGAACAAGGACAGGGGTGGTGGCGGGAGGATCTGAGTCCAGCTAAGGGAGGCTTTGTGTCCAGTGAGAGAGCATCTCTTCCCTGGACGTCGAGTCTGGACCTCCCTGAAAAAACCCCTTGGTGGGCTTGGGAGCAAGGTGGTGACGCCCTCTGCTGGAAAGTGTAGGAACTGCAGGCATCAGAGAGTGGCGGCAAGTGGGTGGGGACAGGAAGGGCGCTCTGCTCTGTCCTTCGTCTCTACCCGTCTGCGGGCTCAGATGCCAGAGACCAGGCAAGAGTCCCGAAGGAGTGAAGCAGAACAGGTGTGAAACCGTAAAGCACCACGGCCACTGGGCAAACTGGAGACCACTGTCATATCCAAAAAGGTCAGAGCAAGTCCCAGTGGATGGAGGAATATCTCTCAGGGACCTTGCTAAGGGAACAAAGCTAGTACAGGGAAACTGCAGAGTGTGCCATCACTGTAAGGAGAAAACCGTTTTCATGCATACACTTGTAAGGCATCTTTGGAAATCTGACCCCTTGGCTATTTCGGGAGAGGGGACATGGGAGGCAGGAGGACATTGTGGAAGAGACTCCTCATCATATGCTCCTTTTACCTTTAGAATTTTATGTTTGGAAATGTGCATCTCAAAAAAAAAAAAAAAAGGTTAATTAAAACCATTAGAAGATTGCATCTACAGTTCCAGCCAATGACCACCGTATTTTCCATAGATGTCAGAAATTTGGCCAGGCTCGGGGTTGTGCATCTGTAATCCCAGTGACTCAGGAAGCTGAGGCAGAAAGATCACAAGTTTGAGACCAGTCTCAGCAACTTAGCAAGGCCCTAAGCAACTGAGTCTCTAAATAAGATAAAATTTTAAAGAAGGAAGGGCTGAGGATATGGTTCGGTGGTTAAGCTCCCCTGGTTCAATCCCTGGTACAAAAGAGGAAGGAAGGAAGGGAGGGAGGGAGGGAAGGAGGGAATCAATTTGAATCTTGTGGGTGAATACTCAATATTAAAAGCGAGCTAAGATTTATGTTAAATTATGAAGGTCAAACAAGACACAGTTAAGAGCAGGTTTCAAGTCTGGGGGATCCTACCCATCAGCGACTTCTGTCAAGCTCATATTCTGAATCTTTCGTTGCCGTGGTCTTAGGTTCTGTTGTGCATGTGTTTATAGGGCTTTTTGCTCAACTTAGGCCAATCATAAAACTCTTCCTAGGCTGGGCCTGAACATGCCACAGCCACGTGGGCATTGGGCCAGAGCTGGGATTGTGGCCAGGAGGATGCTGAGACCCTGTGTATACAGACATCCGGGTCCCTGGCAAAGCCCATGGGGAGTGGAGTTAGGTGTGGTCATTTCCCTCCTGTGGGGGTTGGGTCTCTTTGGGAGAGAGTCTTCCTGGCTGATTTGACTTCAGACATATTTAATGAGCACACAGGCATCCCTGAGCATCTGTGCCTAACAAGCCAGAAGCCCCTTGGGTACCAGAATGCACAGATGCTCAAGTTCCTAAATATAAAATCCAGTAGTATTTGCATAGAACCCATGAGATTCTTCCCACATGCTTTAAATCATCTCTAGATTCCTTACAATATCTAATACAATGTAAATGCTATGTAAATGGTTGTTGTACTGTTTTGTTTAGGGAATAAATGACCAGAAAAAAGTCTGTACCTGTTCGATACAAATGCAATTTTTTTCCTGAACACTTTCACTCTGTGGATGGTTGAATCCATGGATGTAGCATGGCAGACACGAAGGGCTGACTGTACATATAACATATTTTATATATGGATATATATTATGTAGATGATAAAATGACTTCAAGTGTTTCCCTCCATTTTGCTTTTGAAATCATTTGGTTCCCGAAGGACCTATGGAGACTCTGCTAGCTTATAATTACTCAGAATCCTGGAAATTCTTGCAAAATGAGAAAAACCAAACCTTCAGGCAGTTTTTGAATATTGCAAAGTTTTCGGGGACTAGAGACTAAAGCAGAGAATCAATCTGGTATTAGGCAGTCATGGATTTCAAAATTTTACTAATTTTCATTCAATAATTTGGTGGGTACTTGTTTAAGGCCGATTGCTTATGTGGGCTCTTGGTCCTGGACGGACCAGCCTCAGGTGTGGAGCCAGAGATGCCCCCACTCAGGACAGGCAGAGGCTGAGAGGCCCAGTCCCACTTCCTGGGCCAGAAGGGGACACAGAGACATATGGACAGGTGAATGTGGCTAGTCAGGCTCTACGCAGCTGTCCCCTGTGGTCTCAGGCGTCAGCACCTCTGGGAGAAGCACCTCAGGAGCCGCAGGTGGCCCTGTCCTGCTACCTGGGGCTGGCGTGGTGATGGCTACTCCAGCCTGGCTTCTGGAGCCATGCATGAGGTGCCCCATGGGGTGACCCAGCATCTATGGACCTCTTTGAGACCCCTCCCCATGTTGCACGGAGATCAGAACCTGACAAAACAAGCTAGAAATGTAGATTTTTATGATGAAAATCTCTGGATGTTTAAATATTGGTAGCTGACTTTGAATTTTCTTGACACTTTGTAGGACAAATGAAATGTGTCCTCTGGTCGGAAAAGGCCCTGGGGCCACTACTTTGAGCTCCCCAGCTGAAGGGGTAGGCCAACTGGGGAGAGGCTCAGCGTCCCCCACCCCCATTGTCATTAATCCTGCTCCAGACACCTCGGCCTCCCTGCGAGTTCTAGAACATTCCACAGAATGTCTGTGGTGTTTCCGCCCCAGAGATTGGCAGCTTTAGCTCCCTCTGCCTGGGATTCCCCCTGGGGTCTGCTTGGTTCATTGCTTCACTTCTTCAATTCCAGGCACCGATGCCACCTTCTCAAGCAGCCTGCTCTGACCACTCTACATACAGCCCCCACCTCCACCGGGCCCCTTAACTGAATCCAATTATTAAGCTTCTTTTAATTCACAAGTTGGTTCTGTGTACCCCGAAGTTCATAGAGGTGGGATTTATTCCCAAAGGCAGCCGTGCTGAGGGACAGCTTAAGAGCTGATGAGGTCATGAGAGATAGATGCATTTCGCCATTATGGGAGTGGGTTAGTTATTGTGAGAACGGGTTATTCTAGAAGCAAGGTTGTACCCCTGTTCACTTTTTCTCACCCTCTCCTGCCCTTCCACCTTCTGCCATGGGATGATGCAACAAGAAGCCCTCACCAGATGCCGGTACCATGCTCTTGGACTTCCCAGCCTCCAGAACTGTAGGCTGAATCCATTTCTGTTCATTATAAATTATAAACATTCCCACTTGGCAGCAGTAGTTGAAGGGTCAGGTCTCTCTCCCTGAGGTGACCCTGGCCCCATCTTTCCTTGGTTTGAGGCTTCACAAGAAAGAGTAAGAAGAAGGAGACTCAAGGGTCGTTCTGGCCCCAGGATTGTGCCTGTCATCTCCAATCTTAATCCCATCTTGCACCTGGATGGCCTCCATGACAGATCCAGCCTCGGGGAGGCATCTGGGGGTGGTTTGCACAGCAAAGACCCCAGGGCTGGCATCCTGTGTCCAGGAAGAGAGGGTATATCTGCCCACTTGAGGTGAGATGGTACCACTGAGGACATGCCTGCTCATGTTTTATGATTCCCTTCTGAAAAAAGCTCTGTTTGTCAACTGACTATAAGAAAAAACTGAATCTTTTTTTTTTTTTTGTACCAGGGATTGAACTCGTGTACTTGACCACTGAGCCACATCCCCAACCCTATTTTGTATTTTATTTAGACACTCAAGGTCTCACTGAGTGGCTCAGCACCTTGCCATTGCTGAGGCTGGCTTTGAACACTTGATCCTCCTGTCTCAGCCTCTCAAGCTGCCTGGATTACAGGTGTGCACCACTGTGCCTGGCTGAATCTCTTGTAAGGCCAGACAAGTGGGCAGGAAAAGATTTCTGAGATAGAAGAATCTAGAAACAAACAAGCAAATAAAACAAAACACCTTATATATAAATAGAAATAAAGCCAAGGCGGCAAGATATTAAGAACTGGTCAATCTATGAAGGCTCTCTAAGTTCGTTATATGGCTAATGTAACTTTTCTGTAGTCAAAAATATTCAAACTCAGCGTTGAGAAAAAAAAATCAATAAAAATATAAAGTAATAAAACCACAAGATAAAAAATAATTCCGAGAGGATGGAGGGGAAAGTAAATTTAGAATCTGGTAACCTAAAAGTTAAACAGAATTTAATTGAATGTAAGAAATTACGCATTTATGCATGTTATACACCTACCAAATATTACTCAGGGGTTGTTTTCCTGTGGATAAAAGTCTGTGTTCTGTTGGGTCCCTGCCTCCCCAACATAATGTCTTATTTCCTCCTGGATCAATTCACAGGCCGTGACCCCTCAGTGCGCGGGTCCACCCCTTCCTCGCTGGGGGTGACAACCCGGCTCTGGGCTGCCCAGCATTGTTCTCCCAGGGTCCCTGAGGCTCTGAGGCCTGAGCAAATCAGAAGGGCAGGAAAAGGTTTCTGCGCGCTCAGGCTGAGGCTGGCAGGCTCCGCTGGCTGCAGAGGCAGGGCCGTGAGTCTGCAGTTCCGGAAGCTGCCTGGCACCCCCTGCCAGGGGAGGCGCTGACTCCTTGGCCACTGGCATCCTGGGAGCATCCAGCTCAGCGCCCCCTGTCCCCTGGTGCTGCCTTGGCATGCAGGTGCTGCACCCAGAGAGCCAGGAGCCCTACAGCGCACTTAGAGACCCTTCCTAGATTCGCCCACTCTTAACATTTTGGGGGTGCCAACTGGGACACCAGATCCTGGCACATGCGCTATTCTCCCTGCAGAGGAGACTGTGACCCTTAAGGCTCTGTCACTTAGGGACAAATCACACCCTTCAGGAAAGGTCAGAGTGAGGATTCCCACCCAGGATCCCTGTGCGGTGTGTGTGGGGGGGGTGATAAAGGGACAACGAGGGTCCCTGGAACTGTCAGGGTCCCCAGAACAGACAGCAGGGTTCAAAGAGCAGATGAGACCTCCGAGAGGATTTCCAGAACAGCCACTGCCTCCACCCCGACCAGCCGCCATCCCCTCCTCCCTGCCCCCTGCTCCTGTCCCTGCCCCCCGCCTGTTCCCAGGGAGCCTGCGACCTCCCGAGTTGGATCAGGGCCCTCCCAGGTCAGAGCTGCACCTCACTCCCAGTGAAGGCAAAAGCCCTGGGCACAGCAGTGACTTCCCAGCCGCTCTCCGACCTGGTCACCCGCTGCCCTCCTCCCCTCACTCACCGGCTCGCTGGCGGGGGAGGGGGGGGGGCGCTGCACGGCCACCCGCTCCGCCCTTCACGCCGCCCACCCAGCCTCCTGGCCCTCGTGGTCCACACCACGGGGTTCACGGCTCCCGGATGTGCACGGGGTCCCTCATCTCTTCCAGGTTTTGCTCAGTCGTCCCCTTCTCAGTGAGGCACCCCTCCTCGGCCACGAAACTTAGGACCATTTTTCTCTCTGGAACCCCAGCACCTGCTCTTATTCTTGCCTTTTTAAATTTATTTTTTAAATAAAATTTTAAATTTATTTTAAAAATTATACATGGGTTTTCAATTTATTTTTTTCTGTAGCACTAATAAACTGACTAATATGTTTTTGTCTCTCCCTCCTCTAGAGTGTAGCTCCTTGCAGAAGGGACCTGGGCCATCCCACTCCCTGCTGTTTCCCCAGCACCAGAGCATAGGGCTTGGCGCATAGTAGGTGCTCAGAAAATGTCTACTGAGCATCAGTGAAAACCATACTTGAAAGTTACTGTATCCCAGGTCCCATAATACACGACTCAGACTCCCCATCCTCCTTAAGTCTAGCACAGGTTTAGGAGCACACAGTAGGCCCACAGGTGGAGAGGAAAGGAACTCAGAGCCAGACAACCTGAGTACACATGCTCGCTTTGGTATTTTCTCACTGTGTGATCTCAAAAAGAAAAAAAAAAAAGTGCCGGGCTCCCTTCCTGGGCCTCAGTTTCCCCGTCTGCACAATTGAGATAATAATAGCAGTCCCCCTGCAGAGCTGCCCTTTGGATTCAATGGGATTGTTGTGTGGGAGGCTGACAGTGTGACTAATTCCGAAAGCTGGTGCCCTTCCTGGAAGCGGGTGGAGTGGGAGGGGTGCGGCTGTGTGTTTTCCAACAGCCAACAAAGGGACGCTTGTAG